GCCGCGCTCCGTCCGGGGCCGCAGAGCCGCGATGCTGCCCGCCCGAGGAGCCGCGGCCCCGCGGGTGAGGCCTCCCCCTGCGCCGTCCTCCCGCCCCTTCCCCGAACTGGGCTCCGGGCTTGAGACGCCGCCTGGGTGCGCGCCCTGGGCCTCAGTGTCCCCCAGAGCCGGCTGGGTCTCCTTTCGGGGCCGCGTCGGCGGCTGGCGCTGGGCCGCGCACTTTCCCCCAGCGCCCACGACGGCCCGTCCCGGGGAGGGGCCCGGCCTGCGGGACCCGACCGGCCGCTGCGGCTGTGCGGACCCCTGTCCGCCGCGGGGGTGCGGGTGCGGGGCGGCGGTGACCCGCCAGAACGCGCCCAGCAGGAGGAGCCGGGACCCCTCAGCCGCCCGAGCCTGCAGCTCAGAACCGGAGGGGCACAGGCGGGGATGGGCACGGCTTATTTATTAATACTAAAGTGCTAGGAGAAGCCATCTCTTCACATTGAATCTGGTTATAGGAATTTTATAGGTAATAGGTTTTTTAACATTTTACGTTGCTGTATATTCAAAGTTTTGCTTTATTAATAGGCAGTAAAGCCTTAGAAATTTTAGTTTTTATTCCTTAATTGGTAAATATGGTTACTATGGAATAAATTTACCGCCTCTACTGAGTGCCCTTTATATAATGACTAACTTGAGAGTAATGTGTGCTCTGTAAGTTTGTTTAAAATTGTGCTGTTTTTAAGGACACCGTAGAGGAGCACCAAAAAGCCAAGCAACTTCATAACTAGACTATACTAATCGTTCGGTTTTGACCAGGAATCTGAAGTCCATAAATGCACTCTGATTACCACTGCAGGAATCAGAGTACGTTTATTACTTTAATCTGTACTCGTTGAAGAAATCAATTACCATGCACGACAGCTTTGTGGTAGACCATTATTTTCCTTTTCAGTTTTTGGCTCTTTAGAAACTTGAATGCTTAAACCTGCACATGAGCTTGTGTTTTGCTGTCCTTTTCACTGTAAAATGTGAATATTTAAAGGGATACTTCAGTTCTAAATCCAATAAAAGAATTTCTCATCTAAAAAAAAGATGCCCTGCGATACGAAATGCTCAGTACATTAAGGCCGCGGCTTGGTAAGTTATCAGACAGCCAATCAGACACGCGTGAGGACACGTGAAGAGCTTCGGCCCCATGCGGAAGGAGATGCGTGAGAGGCCGCAGAGCATGAAGGCAGTGTGTTTGCAGGGCGAGGTAGGACCCCACAGTGGTACGGGTGACACGTCTGCAAAATGTGGGTTTCAAAAACTTGCTTTGGGTAAGTTCTCCTGACTGTAAAAGTGAAGGAAATGAGGTTAATGATAACATAAGGAAGCAAAAGACCTTGTGTTGACTTCTCTTTTCTCAGATGCTGTATTCGTTTTCACAGTTCATTGTTTCAATGTCCAGTCCCTGTGCAGGTCCGTGTGGATCTCTCTCATGTCACCACGATGATGGCATGTAGGCCTGCTAATGTGCACCTGGGGTTAAGGTGTCAGTGGGAAGTAATCCCCTCTCTCCTCAGCTAGCAGGTACACCTTAAGAATTCATTTAATTACCACAGAGAACTCCAAACCAGCATGGTCCTGCTGGCCATTCCAGGCAGGATATTTTAGACAGACTGAGTCTTCAGGCCCCCTCCTGCCACAAGGTGAAGTTGTCCTCCTTCGAACATGAGTAGATGGCCCTGGAGCCAGTCTCAAATCCAGAGCTCTGAAGTGTTGGTATCTGCAGAAAGAGGCATAAATACACCCAGAGCTCACTCTCCACCCAAGGCAGGCTCACCGCCAGTGTGAGGAAACGGATGGAAACAAACCTCAATGCTCTGCAGAATCACTTCGTGTTCTTTGTTCTAACACGCCTGTCCTTGCCGTCCTAAAGTGTCTTTAGCTCATTCTGGTGTACTAACTACCTGAGGTGGTTAGTACAGCAGGGGAGGAGGGCTAGAAGATGCTTTGAACACAAATCCTAGTGACTTAACCATCTTACTATCAGCTGTAGTAAAACGGCAGGTTTGAGGTGCTTAACCAACACGGACATCCATATGGCAAATGAAAATGTCTCACCTTTGTTCAGTGTCATGAGGTCGTAATATGTACTTCAGTTTTCTTAAAACCCTAGCTAATTTCTGTTCAGGTGTGACTTTTTTTCTTCAGGGTCAAAATTCTAGCATATGTGACACACCTGACGTTTTCAGAACAGCCTTGTCTCTCTGCTAAGCTGTTGGTGTACTGAAATAAGGGGCCCCTCCTTGTGAGGTGCTAGAAGACACTGTGGGGATCTAGACAAACAAGATGTGTTCCCGCCCCTCATATCCCACAGTGAAAGTGAGGAAAGAGCCAGGCAACCCAGCTGCTACCGCACAGGGAGACGCAGGGCCAGCGTGGGTTGGAGACCATGCCAATAACCCCGTGGAAGGCAAGCATGAGAAATTTGTAAGAGAGACTCTTGTGCAACCCTGTGACAGATTGGGCATGGAGGCAGCAGGCTAACCTACAGCTCAGAATAATGTTTGCCTCCTCTGGAACTGTTTGATGAGCAATATGAAATTCGACTCTTAACCTAGTTAACACAAATGCGAAGTTTATGTTTCCCACCTTTCAGCTATGTCTCCTTGCTGGTGCTGTGTCCAAGGCTGTCCCAGCAGCAGGGAACCTGAGAAATTTTTTTAATCTGCGAATATCATCTTCCTACACAAAAACACTAGCAGAGAAGGGAGAGAATGTATATTAGCTAGGTAACTAGCAGTGTCCTCACGAACATGTTGAAAAATCAAAATAGCCGGGCATGGTGGCGCACACCTGTAAATCCAGCACTCAGGAGGCTGAGGAAGGAGGATTGTTGTGAGTTCAAGACCAGCCTGGGCTACAGAGTGAGCTCAAGTCCAGCCTGAATTGCATAGCAAGACCCTGTTTCAAAAAGACAAAAAAAAAAAACCAGAAAAAACAAAATAATTACCAGGACATCAGCACTTTCACTATAATTTGACCCAGAGAAACTGAGAAACAAATAGGCTCTTTGATTGCACAAAAGAAGTACCTGGATTGGCCAAGATTGCTCTCTCTCTCTGAAATACTATTAGACCTGGTTTTAACAGAACTACAGCTCCAAGAACACACCACTTTTCATACAATTAGAAATTGCTTTAAAAAAGAAAAAAGTTTGTGGGAAGAACTTAGGTGATTTTTCTTTCTCCTCTGCAGGGTATTTTGGAGCGTCTGGCCCATGGGGAGGTGGTGATTGGGGACGGCAGCTTCCTCATAACCCTGGAGAAGAGGGGCTACGTGAAGGCGGGGCTCTGGACTCCAGAAGCCGTGGTGGAGCACCCAGAGGCAGGTTGGTGATCGAGTCAACCCAGAGTATTTATCTGAGTGATACTTTGCTTAAATCCAAGTGGGAGAAAATCAAGAAGTAATAGTGAGCGTTTCTAAGGGAAGTTTCACTGGCAAAGTGCCAAGATGTGGAGGCAATAGCAGGATGTGAACTAAAGCATATAGGAGAAATGACCTCTGCCCCTCCCCTCCCTTTCTCTCCCCCTCCCCTTCCCTCTCCCACACACGCTGGCATCTTATACAAGCAGCGCTAAAACATACATTTTAAGACTTATAGGCAAGGGATATAGCTCAGCGGCACAGCACCTGCCTGGCAAGCGCAATGTCCTCAGTTTGATTCCCGGTACAAAAAAAAAAGACTTATCGCTATTCAGGAGTTTCCTTAAAATAGTGAAAAGTGTTACTCCTCCTCCTCCTCTTGCCTGCTGCTGTGCACACTACAGCGGCCTCCCTTGTGACAGTGATTAATGGCAGTCATCATCCCAGCTGGGTTTGGGGTAAGAAGGCAGAGGGATAATCAGCTTTACACCATGCCTCTGGCTGGGGGCAGGGTGAGCACTGAAGGAATAAACTGACGGGACTGGTTGATGATATCAAGTTGGAACCTCAACTCTTTCCTCTTTTTGTGTTTGTGTTCTTAAAATGGGAAAGTAAAGCCAAGAATACGGAGAAACCAAATACAGGCTAAGAATGTAGCCTTGGGGCTGGGGATTTAGCTCAGCGGCAAAGCGCCTGCCTGGCAAGCGCAAGGTCGTGAGTTCGGTTCCTGGTACCAGAGAAAAACCAAAAAAAAAAAAAGAATGTAGCCTTGAGTGGTGCCAATTTTTTTCATATATGTGTGCAGCAAGCAAGCCTAGGGTCCTGTCTTCATTCTCCACTGACCCGCTGCATGGCCTCCCCAGAGTCCCTGGGCCTCTCCAAGGACTTGCTTTCCATGTGTCATGTGGTGCAGGATGTGGGCCAGCTGTGAGGACCGATGAGTGAGCCCCCAGGGTGCCCAGCACACCTTAGGTACAGGTGCCCTTTGACTGCTTCCACAGACCTCCAGGGTTCTCTGAGGGGCAGGACCAGGGTCTCTCTCTAGTGCTTTGCAGGAAGTTTTCATTCGGTCCAAGAAGGGTTTGTTCTTCACTTTGGAAGAATTGCTGATATAGCAAGGGTGAGGACGTGGGATGGAGGCGAAGGTGGATGAGAGAAAGACCGGGGTGACTTTCCGAGAGGCCTGAGGCTATGTTCAGGTTGCTATTTTTCTCCTGTCTGGAACTGGGGCTGAACTTTGCATGGAGCAACCCCAGCCCACCTCCCTTTTGAGACAGTGTCTCACTAAGTCACTAAATTGCCCAGGCTAGGCTAACAGTTGTGATCCTCCTGCCTCAGCCTCCCCGTGTGCTCGCTGTGGATGAGCCCAATGTGGATGCCACACTTGTGCCCTCCACGAGCGCCTCCCTGTGCAGTAAACCTCTCCAGTACAAGAGATCTGGTAACGGGCTCGGCGAGCGAAGGCACCAGGCCTCAGGTCTCAGGAGGACGGCAGGGCTACTCTAGGAAGCACATCGGTCCTGTGTCCTTCAGACTTCGCCTGTGACTTTTTATCAGTGCCAGGTTTGCTGCTGGGTCTGACTGAGAGAGATGGGACTGAGGTTGCCCTGAGTTTGCTCAAAGTAATAGTGCCTGCCATTTTTATTATTATTATTTTTTTAATTTCTATTTAAAAACCCAACTGTTTTGTAGTTCGTCAGCTTCACATGGAATTCTTGAGGGCGGGGTCCAACGTCATGCAGACGTTCACCTTTTCTGCCAGTGAGGACAACATGGAAAGCAAGGTGAGCTGCACCTGAGCTGGCGGCGAGGGGTGCCGGGGCAGCGCCCACTGTGCTCCTGCCCCGTGGATGGAAGCCGTGGCTGTGATTTTGGAGAAGGAGCACGTGGAGATGCTCCTTTCGTCTTTCCATTTCGCACCGCTCGCTCTCTACCTTGCCTCCTCACCCGTGTCTTTCTCTCCTCCTCCTTGCCTCTTGACTGAGAGGTACTGAAGAGCACGGCTCTGGCTTAGGGATGAGAGATTTAGGTTAGAAACCCAGCTTCACCCCTCGCTGCCTGGGAGATGGCGTAGAACAGTCCCTGTGTTAAGCTGCAGAATGGAATTAACAGCAGCGCCGTGTAGACCTGTGGAGAAGAGTGGACAAGGCGAAGGATGCAGAAGTGTATAAAATGTCTTGCAAGGGCCAGTGATCTGGCTCAGTAGCATAAGTGCCTGCCTGGCAAGCACAAGGTCCTGAGTTTGATTCCCAGTACCAAAAATAAAATAAAATAAAATAAAATGTCTTGCAAGAGCAAAGTGTTAGTTGCTGTAAATGGTGATGTTCATTTGTTTGTTTAATGAACCCACACCTAATGGGGGACGAGTAAATACTATTATGGTCCATGGACTGGCTGTGGACCATTCTCCGTGCTCAGTACAAAGGCATAGACCCACCGGGCCTGGTGACATACACCTGTAGGAGAATCACAAGTTCGAGGCCAATCTGGGCTACATATGGAGTTCAAGGCCAGCCTAAAGTATGTAGTGAGACCCTGTCTCAAAAAAATAAAAAATAAAAAAAGGAAAGGCATAGACCCTATTCTAAAGAGGGTCAAGCTCAAATGTGGAGGCAAATAAATAAGCAGTTACTAAGATTCAGTGTGATAAGTGCACTATAATGGCAATATAATGCCACACATATTGTGAGTGGTACCCAGCTCTGCTGGCCTTGTATTGCAGTGTAAATGAGTGAATTTGCCCCTTATTAGCTATTCTATTTCATATTCAGAGTGCCGGGCTTACCATCTCACCTTGTGCTCTCACCTCAGTGGGAAGAGGTAAATGCTGCCGCTTGTGACCTGGCCAGGGAAGTGGCTGGCAAAGGTGATGCTTTGGTAGCAGGGGGAGTCTGCCAGTCATCGATGTACAAGTACCACAAGGATGAAGCTCGAATTAAAAAACTTTTCCGACTACAACTGGAGGTTTTTGCCAGAAAAAATGTGGACTTCCTGATTGCAGAGGTAAGCCCAGTGCTGGAGGAACAGGATCCAGCCTATTTTGCCAAGTCTAATTGCATATCCTCAGCTTTCGTCAGGGTGCTGGCTGGCCTTCTGTGCCCGAATCCTGCATGTGCATGGTCAGAGGCACCTAGCAGTGCACTGAGGGCCAGCCACCATACTCCTGCTTGTAGGCTGGGCTCCCGTGAGGCCAAGGGATGGTCAGGGAGGCCTGACGCAGCCTCCAGTTCTCTCAGTTCTGAGCGGTTGTGGTGGCCAGCGCAGGGACCCTCCAAGAGGAACTAGACAGGGCTGAAGCAGCTCCCTCCCCAACTACAGCAAGGCCACACTGGGAGGTGCCTGAAGCCGGGATCCAGGCGCAGTCGGACCTTGGTGCTCCACTGCCTTGAAACTCCTCGAACTTGGTACTCAACATATTTAATGCAAAATGTTGTCCGAGTGCTCACCTTGTGGATGTTGGTGGCCTTGTGACTCGCCGTCGGTCCAACCCAAATGACTCCTTTGATACTCATTGCTTTCGATGCCTTCCTGTGCCTCCTAGAAGAGAGTAACTGCAAGCACCCAGGCACCACTGTGTTTGGCTGCTCCGGCTCAGCCAGGCCCCACCAGGAAGATTCAGTACTAAGTACTTCCCTTCTCCTCCTCAGTTCATACCTCTGCTTCCCTCCCACTAGGACATGTGGCTGACATTTGAAGACAGGTTGGTAAGCACTGGTCATTGATTCCACAGGAAGGTGTAGAACATTCTCTTCCCTCCACCTCCAGAGCCACAGCTCTCATTCCCCTTTTGCCACCAAACACAACTGCTGCTCCCTGTCTCAACCCCTCGCCCCCATCTTTACCCCCAAACCAGAGGAGAGTGGCCGGCTGGTGTTTCCCCTCCATCCCCGCTCACTCCAGCGCAGACCCAGCCTCACCGTTCTCCCCAGGGCCCAGAGCCAACAGGCCCAGCTGAGCCCCTGGAGGAGTCCTCTGCGGAGACCACCTGGTCTGCTTGTATCCTCTGCTTGAACCCCTCTTGTGTCCTGTCACTCCTCACACACTGCTTCTGCCAAATTTGTTTCTAAATCAAGAAGGAAGAAAGGGAGAGTGCTGTCAGTGTTTCTCTACTTGCCTCAGTCAGCCGTGGGAAGTGCCCTGTGCGCTCACCAGACCAGGGTCCAGGCCGCTGCTGGCGCGGCACTGGGCGGCTTCCACCCCGCTCTGTGCTCAGCCTTCTGGGAAAACTTATTTCCCTCCCCACCAGCTAGAAGTGAATCTATGTAAAAGCGCTTTCAAACATGACACATGGCCAGCTGCTCACTGTTTCTCGGCTCACCCTAGTTCCATGAAAGAGGAGCTCAGAATTTATGACCTAAATTTTCAGTCCTTTAAAATGATGATTTCAAATATGCAAATGTGTTTTACTAACAGTCATCGTTTCACCAGTGATGATCCCTGAATGAAAATCTATGTAGTATTAAGGAAGGAATTAGAATATTTACTGAGAAAGGAGCCCTTCCATCAGGGGCTGCAGACACACTCCTCAGCAGGTTTCATCACCTGTCTGTGGTCATTGTTATGACTGCTCTGCAACATTTGTGCTCTACCATTCCACCTGCACCAGCAGAAAAAGTGACATCTCTTTTAGTATTTTGAGCATGTGGAAGAAGCTGTGTGGGCTGTGGAAGTCTTAAAAGAGCTGGGCAAGCCGGTGGCAGTGACCATGTGCATCGGCCCCCAGGGAGACATGCATGGGGTGACACCCGGGGCGTGTGCCGTGGAGCTGGCGAAGGCAGGTAACTTGGCCCCGGGACATGATGGGCGGCTTAGTGACTGTTTATGTTTGCCTAATATTGTGAGATCAGTAAGAGAATAGAAAAGGAATGAAGAACATGATTGCAATCAGTTGCTTCATCTGTAAATCTTGGGGTAGCTAATTCTCAGAGCTTCTGACTTTCGCAGAATACACAGAGAAAGGATGAAGTGTGATCGGTCTGTCTCCCTGCGCAGGGGCTGACATCGTTGGTGTGAACTGCAGATTTGGGCCTGAAACCAGCTTGCAGACGCTACGCCTCATGAAGCAGGGCCTGGGGGCTGCGGGACTGAGCCCCCACCTGATGGCACAGCCCCTGGGCTTCCACACCCCTGACTGTGGCAGAGGGGGTTTCGTGGACCTCCCTGAATATCCCTTTGGTGAGCTCTGACACAGAGAGGGGTCTTTAGGCTTCTCGTTGTGACAAAATACAAATGCCTATGATAAACTACGGTACAGGTATATAATGAGACACAGCGAAGACAAAAGCATTCAGTGTTAGCCAAACACGAGTCATCCAAGGAATGTATAACTAAAGCTGATAGGTGTTTAATTGGAAAGAATGCATTTAAAAAGGGGGACAGTAATAGAAATGCCATAACTATTATATCACAGGACTGGAGCCCAGAGTTGCCACCCGATGGGATATTCAGAAATATGCCAGAGAGGCCTACAACCTGGGGGTCCGGTACATCGGCGGGTGCTGTGGGTTCGAGCCCTACCACATCAGGGCGATTGCGGAGGAGCTGGCCCCGGAAAGGGGATTTTTGCCACCTGCTTCGGAAAAGCACGGAAGCTGGGGAAGTGGCTTGGACATGCATACCAAGCCCTGGATTAGAGCGAGGTAGGAATTTTTAAACTAGCATTTTTATTACTTTTATTTAACCTCATTACCATACCATGGATCTATATAATAATGAAAATTCAAAAAGTATGTAGTGAATAAAATGAAAGTAAAAGCCATCCCCTCCTGGCAGCAGTCCCTTTCCCATTTTATTTTTATTTTATTTAGTCTGTTCAGGATGCTATCACAAAATGCCATAAACTGGGCGCCTTATGAACAACAGAAATTTATTTCCCACAGTCCTGAAGGCGAGAAGTCCCAGATACCATGCTGGCAGATGTGGCAGTGAGACCACTTTCTCACAGAGACTTCTTGCTGGGTCCTTTCACGATGGGGGGCAGGGCAAGCTCTCTAGAGTCTCTCATGAAAGGCACTAATCCCTTCATAAGGGCTCCACCCTGGTGGCCTGGCGACCTCAAAAAGAACCCACCTTCTCATATAACTGCGCTCGTGGCTAGGTTTGAAATGTGAATGGTGGGATTCAGATCCTAGCACAAAGGTAGCCTATTTGAAGCCTCGGAACCTCTATGCCTTGTCTTCAATTCTAAGCATGAGTTACTAATAATCCTTTATAAAAGCTGAGGAATATAAATCACATTCTCCTCCATCTCTCCCCTTGTTCTCCTTTTCCCAGATGTGATTCGCTAAATGTTTATTTCTTCTTGGTCTTTTTAAGTTAAAACATACATTTAAAGTCTTCCAAGCTTCATCTGTATATTGATTCTAAAAATATAAAACCAATGAATAACTCTTACAGTGTTTCTATAATAATACGAAACAGGAGCACTCGTGAAATAGAAGTGGGAATTGCAAAGAAGGAAAACGAACAAAAAGCACATTACTCTGTAGCATAAAACACATCTCTACCCCCATCTTTGCGCTCAAACCTTCCGATGTTTGCAAAACTTATGATTTCACAAAAACCTGTACAAACTGCAGATTTCTGACATTTTGTTGTCCAGAAATACTAATTTCTTCATTGTTTCATAAGTGGGAAGGAAAGGTTTGTGGCCAGGAACTTTGCATTTCTTTCTTTGTCAAAAAAACAAAGAAAGACAACAACAAAAAAACAAAGCATAAAAAACAAATACTACCAGTAATTTGTTTGTTGAAGAATTATACTTTGTCTTATTACATTAAAAACTGTCTTAATTTACTTTTCATTGTATTAAAATATTGAATATAGTTAGGACTCTGCTAGAAATTTCAGAATGAATTGTAATTCATAAAAACATGCAAAACCAAAATCACTGTCTTTCTGAAAGGTGATCTGAAATCTAGTGATTGTCATGAGGATAGAAATGTGAGCGGCCCAGCATGCAAGCTGAAAAGTTCCACTTCAGCCTCACCACCCACCAACATGCATATGTGTGAGAATAACACATTCACTTACCTATGCATATGTACATACATATACTTATATGTATAACACTGGACTTATAAATAAGAATGGGTCTTTTAGTTAATTAATGATGCATATTTTTCAATACAGGGCTAGAAGGGAACATTGGGAGAATCTGCTGCCGGCTTCAGGCAGACCCTTCTGTCCTTCACTGTCGAAGCCAGACATCTAAGGAGCATCGGAAGAATACACTGGAACACAGCTTCAGGGTCCCGGAGCATATGAGGAGCTGGTCCTTGCCTTCAACCCCAGGCGCTGCAGCCCCAGCTCCCGCAGGCCCGCCCAAGTGCTCACGTCACCACTGCTGCACTACGCCCTGCACTGACTTGTGCGAGGCTTCAAGGCAGCCTGAAGAAAGGACACAAACATGATTTGAACAGCCATGGGTCACAGACATCAGGGCACATCCTGCCAAAGCGAATGTGTTCCAAAATCACTCTTCCTTTAAGGGACCATTAGATCCCAGAGATTTGTAACGTGTGTCCTTCTAATCACAGATAACTAAATTTTAACCATCTAAGGGTGAAGGCCATACCCTATGCTGCTCTGTCTCTCCTTGTCTGCTATTGTGTTGGACATAATCACAGATGCTCGCTGACACACATAGGTTGATTATGTGAAATAAATAAACATAAGTAGAGTTTTAGCAGATCTTTCTAAAGAGTCACCATTCAAATGCATCTTGGTCTTTGACTGAAATTTGTGTTAATTGCCATGTACCCATTTCTCTTTTGTTCACAGCACTAGATCAGCTTGTGACCATTAATAAAATTTTTTAAAATCACCTTATATGGTGCTTGAGTATTTAAACTTTTGAGATGCTCTTCAGGATAATCATAATAAGGATTTGTTTCTCACTGTTACGGGCCTTGCCCTGTGCATGAGGCCGTGAGATAGTGTTTGTAGCACAGTGGTGGATGGGTGGGCAGTCTCATGAGTTCATTTCCTGGGTCACACCGTGCAAGGTGTGGGGTTAGTCAGTTGGGCTTCAAACCTACATTGTCTGTCTCAGAAATCCAGTTTTCAACTGGATACTCAAAAAAAAAGTATGTTCCCCCACCTTTGTCATGCACATAGTTGCTGCTTTTATCAGAGTCAATCCAAATATTTCTGTTGCACAGTTTAAGGTATTTATTTTTAGTGGCCTATAATGATTATACAAAGTTGTACAACTATTAGGCAACTTTATACATTATAAACTGTGTAACAGGGTACTTAGCATCTCTGTCTCCTTATACACTTACTTCTTTTGTGAATGGAGGCTTCAAACTTCTCTCTTCTAGTTCTGCATAAGATATGTAATAAGTTGGCTGGGTGTGGTGGCTGTCATCCCAGCACTCGGGAGGCTGAGGTGGGATGGTCACAGTGAGTTTGAGGCCAGCCGGAGCTACACAGTGAGTTCAAGACCACTTGGACTATATAGCAAGACCCTGTCTCGAAAAACAAAACAAAACAAAAGATACATAGTCAATTGTTGAGTTTAGGGTATTTTTATCAACTTTTCTTAATATGAATCAATCATTAAATCCTGATGTGTTTATTTCCATGGTGCTGACAGCAGAATTCATTTAAATGTTGGTATTTTGCCCATAATATACAACAGCATCTGATGGAAATTAAAGAGTGAACCACCTGCCATCCTGGCAGCCTTCAGGGTCCCTGCGAGTGAACCCCTGACGGGGCCAGCAGCTCCCATGAGGGCCAACCAGCCTCTCTCAGGACCCTCTCCAGATCACTCATTTCTTTTAAAAACTCCTCTCATTCTTGGAAAGTTCTTCCATAAATTAGCCAGAAATCTACTCAGTGGGGTCTGCAGAGGTTTGAGAGGTATCTGGTTGCTTAGAGAAACCTAGATTACAGGTCGTTGGAACCTGCTGGAAGAAGGAGAACAGGACTGGGAAGGCCGGGAGGGTTCAGGGGAGAACTTCACTCTTCACAACCCATCGTAGATGCTTCTTCAAATGCTCACATGACAACATACAGTGACAAAAACTTTGGGGCCAAGGTTCCAGTCTTGCTATGTAGGGATTGTTCCACCTTCAAGGAGACAGGATATGGAGTGAAGTCACAGTCTGTTAGTGTACGGAGTGGAGTGGGTGACCCAAGAGAATCTTGACTTCACAGACAGCATGTTCTTGATGAAGACCTTTCTATCAGTTTTGAGGACTGAGAGGGAAAAATTATAAGATCCCTTCTGTTGAAGCAATATGTTTGAGTTTCTTCACTGGCCCAAGAAGGCAAAATCAGATTCATTTGTTTTTGGAACCACTGTTTCAGGTCAAAGTCAAGGTTTTGAAAAGCCAACAAGTTGATGATTCATTTTTTACCAAGTCTTGCAGAGTTTTAGAAGACAGCTGGGTTGCACACAATGGAGACATTTTTCTGGTAAGTAGTACACTTTGGAAAAAGGCCACTCTCCTGTCTCCCTGTGATGGGACATCTGCCTGGAGCAACATTCAAGTCTCTTCATTTTATAGATATGGAATTTTCTGAGCTGCTAATCATTCTTTTTGGAAGAGAAAATTTTAAAAGAAAAAAGACTGAACTTAATGCAGGAACAATCTCCAGTCCTTGGGATCGAACACACAATAGCCCCGCTCAGGTTGTTGATGGCGTGTGGTTTCTTCGCAGTGACAGAGGCCGACCACTCCTGTGGAAGTACTCAGTGGTGTGAATTCACTGCCAAATGCCACAGAGGTTTATAACTACCTGTTTCTCAGAAAAGTATTTCAGACTTCAAAACAAAGCAACAGGGCTATTCACATCAACCTAGAAACTTAAGAGATCTGAAGCTTCTTCGAATACAGGTCACGAAAGATGTTGGTGCCGATGACCAGATCTGTGTTATCAGGAAGGATGGGTCACACGCAGCATGGCAGCAAGTTGAAGCCGAATTTAGCTTCAGACATCAGAGGGGCGCACAGTGTGACCAAATCTTGTCACCTTCAATGCAGTGAGTGAAGAGACATTAGCACAATTGTGGCAAGCTGTGGTCCTATAAACTTAAAGCAAGAATGAAGGAGGAATCTTTCTGGAGGTCATCCCTGACACTTTATGCATGTATGTATGTATGCACGTATGTATTTATTTGAGACAAGGTTTTGGCGTGTAGTCCAGGGTGGCCACAAACTCACTATGTAGCCCAGGCTGGCCTTGAAGTCCCAGCAATCCTCCTGCCTCAGCCTCCCAAGTGCTCGGATTACAGGCACGTGTCACCAAGACCCGCTCCAGCTGCTTTATTTAAAAAACATGGGAGGACAGATCTGGTGGAGGAACCAAATGAAAAGTGGGCCCACTTCCTCTTTCCATCATTGACTGGGAGAACTGATAGGCTGCAATGGCTTTAAATCAATAATTAGTCCTCCTTTCATTCACATAGTCCTCCTTTCATTCGTCCTCATTTCAACACATAGTCTCACTAGCACATTTGGGTGTTCTTAAAAGATGTAAGACTTCAAGACTATGTACATGACAGAAGAGAGCAGGACCAAACTCACTAACTCTGGGACCTCCAAATCCCTTCATTTTAAGAGGAAGGATAAAGCCTACATGTATAAGGTAGAATTCAGTTTACCATCTTAAAGGACTGCTTTATTGGACCTGTACTTTTTGTCCTTGGCCTTAATGTTTTCTGGAATCATTAAATATGCTGCAAAGCAAAGTGGGAAAGTCTTACGTATTCAGAAATATTATAAGGAACTCAGTAAGTATAAACCAAATTCTATTTTTTCAGTTAATATTTTAGAATTAGCACATTTATGAAACTTCCTGTTCCTATCTGCTAACCTGCATTAGCAGGATTTGGCTTATTCTGGGGGCTGCTCTAGAATGTCACCAATGAATGTTTAGCGCCTGTCTTACAGCTGCTACTGCAGGAGTCTCACTGCAGCCTAACTTGCCTGCATCTCTTCACTTCTCTATAATAAGGATCAAAGCCGCATTCTACAGTTTCTTGCTGAACACAGAACCTTTACCCTAATTTCCAGCCCTTACTGCTGGTAGGACAGGCAGCTCCTACCCAAGATCACCTATTCTGGGAGAGAGAGGTATGCGAGGACCAGAGGGCGCCCAGCAGTCCTCTCCCAGAAGGGAAGGAGAGGAAGGCTGCATGGTCCCACACTAGCGCTCCGGAATCAAGCTGCTGGTGATATGCCGCCCACGCTGTGCTGCTTTGTCGGCTCTAGCTTTGCACGAAGCTGCTAAACATTTCCTCGAGTATATTCTTCCTCCGTGTGCCGAGGGGCACTGAACACTGTGCTCTCGTCACAAGTAGAACAAACCTTGTTTCCGTTTCTCTTGTTGAAGCGTGTTCCCAGCTCTGAGATGTGATCCTCCTGGAGTCCATGCTGAGCAATTGTGGCTATTAGAGTAGCTTACCTTCCCTCCTCAGATCATGTTTATACCTGCACCACAGCTCCAGCACGTCCGACTTCTTGTTACATGTATAACTCTTCTTTTAGACCTTTGTCTAGATCATTAAAATATGATAGGTTAAGATATTCTGTAATGGTCTATATGGAATTTCTCTTGAATAAATGTGTTTCTGGTTAAGTAAGAAAAAAAGAAAGAAAGAAATCTACTTATCAACATTTTATGCCTGTTGCTCCAAATATGAGTACCCACAGGACACACTTATGGTCTCCGTCATATGAGAACTCTTCCAACAGCTAGAGACGATTGTTATACCTTTCCTGTCCCCCTCTTGCACAGTCCTCCACATAGAAAAGCCTAGATTTTAAGAGGCACTTTGCCACAGACTGTGTGACATTAAACAGGTACTTAACTTTGTGTCTTCATTTCCTTATCTGTGAAATGAGGATAACAATAGAAGTATCCTCCCTGGAGGGTTACGTGGGCTAGATGAGATAATAAGGTTCTTAAACACAGAACCTGGAACATGGTAGACACCCTGGGCACATTCGGGAGCATCAGGAAATCACGTGGTTGTGTGGCTCTCTCCTGGGCATGCTCCAGCACAGCCAGGTCTGCACAGTGCACTCCACAGTGGACGCTCGCTCAGCTGCTGCTTAGTAAGCTCACAGAAGAGGGCAGAGCGTGGCGCTGTGGAAAGAGCCAGCGTGAAGAGGCGCCACTGAAGCGGGTTCTGCACCAGCAAGAACCAAGACATCCATCCAGCTTCATACCATGCAGGCTAGCAGTGGTGTAACATGCAAGCAAATGCCACATGGTAGGTGCGAGGAAGCACTTTTCAGTCCAGATCCATCGGCCTATAAAAATGAAAATCAGAGGGAGGGAGAAGGGAGGAGAGGAGAGGGAAGAGAGTAAAGAAATTAAGACATGTCAATCATATGTACCAACTCCCCACAATGAATGTAATTAGTATTTACTATAAACATGTACTAATAAAAAAATTTTTAAGTAAAAATCAACTGAGGCCTGTTTTAACAAAGAGCATTGCATTTAGACTTGCAGAAAGAGCAAAGGAATTTGTTGGCTTTTCAGATGGACAGTTGTGACATATGTAAAAACATTAAGTACATTCTTTACAATGTGACCGTCACAGGAGTGACATGGGTTGAAAAATGTGGATGAAGACAATAATAAGAAAAAATGGACTTGAAAAGATATGCAGACCACGAGTAGTAAGACAAGATGAAACATATCATAGGGATTGGCCTCAGCAATAATACACATGACACCCATTTGATGAAGTACCATGAAGCAACAGAAAATCATACCAAGAAGATTTAATACCCTCACTGCGGTGCCGCTTTGCTTGGGTGACTCATAATTGGAACATTGTTGATAGAAGCTGGTAAGTGTAAAGT